CCCCCGGGTCGTGAGGATGGGTTTGCTTCGTGCAGGGGGTGCAGGAGGGCTCCCCCAGGGAGGCACTGGGAGGGGTGAGGTGGGAGGTGAGGGTCTCCAGGCTAAGGTGAGTTTGCACTGTGTCCCCAGAAGCTGCGGCCACGCCGGAGAAGTGCTGCTTCAACTTCCAGACGAGAAAGATCAGGAGAGACAACATCCTTGCCTGCTACCCCACCAGCCCCGAGTGCTCGCACCAGGCTGTGATGTGAGTACCCTAAACCCAGCCCTGGGGTCGGGTGAAGCCCCTCTAGACCCTGTCACACCCTGTGCTTTGCTTCGGCGGCCCCAATCCTGATCCTCTGTGCCTCCGAGCCTCTTGGAGGCACTCAGCACTCCCACCTTCCCTGCTAACCCTGTCTTCTCTCTGTCCCAGCTTCAGAATGAGGAATGGGAATGAGATCTGTGCCCAGGCAAGCAAGCCCTGGGTGAAGAGGTACCAGAGGAGCTTCCAAGTCAACTCCTTCTCCATCCCAAGCTAGCGGGGCAGCTGGAGGCAGCGTGGGCCATCCCTCCATGGGGACAGGACACCCTGAAGGTGAACCCTTCGCAGAGGTGGCTGCCAGGACACCCCTTTTGGATCTAGCACCCATCGTGCTGTGGTGAGCCTCACCACCTCCCTGAAGGCAAAGAGCCTTTGTCACCCCTGGCACCCCACCGGGATGGGGTGTGCCAACTCCGTGGGGTGCTGGGGTCCAGACCTGCTGCCGGGCCCTGGCAGCAGCAGTGGGGTGAAGGGGAAGCAGCTCCACAGCTGGTTTCTTTTTGTGTGTAACACGTTGAATAGAATTAAATGTGATCTCATGCATGCAATGTCTGGCTGTGCAAGTGTCTTGGGAGCAGGCAGATCCTGCTGCTGGGTTTCCTTATCCAGATGTTAAACCACATCTCTAAGTGCTGGGTCAAGAAGGAGCCAGGAAGAGCCCAAGTCCAAATCGTGACTCTGGAAGGGGTTCCAGGGAGTGCATGGGCCCAAACCACGTCCATGTGGGCTTTGGGGAAGCCACCAGTGAGGGAGGTAAGAGGTAGGCACAGCCTGGGAGGAGAGGGCTTCCCATGCCCCTCATCAGTCACCCTAATGCGTGGAGATTCCTGGCCCAAATTCGATCAGAGCTGCCCCTTGGGGATGCCTGGTCAGGGCCACGCTCCCAGGATGCCACGAGGAGCTGTTATGGGCACTGCCACTGTGACAGGCACTGTGATGTGCCCAGGCACTGTGCTGGGCAGCCAGCCATGGGGCTCAGGTGGGCTGGGGTGAGCCAGCACAGCCACCAAACCCAGGAGAGACCACTGGCCCTGGCACACCACCAGCAGTGCAGAGCTGCTGGCCACAGTTTCCAGTAGCCCTCGGGTATCACAGTGGGATGTGGATTGGGGGTACCCAATGTGGGCATGGCCAGGGGACCAGGAGAAGGACTTTGCATTCGTTGGCTGCCCTTTCTCAATATCTCTGGGTGGTTCTTTCCAGAGCTGTCCTAGAAAGCCTGAGCGTGGGGTTTGTGGTGCTGAGGGGCAGGGAGGAGGGGCAGGCAGCTCCCAGGGGAGTCAGCAGCATCTGCTGGCTGCTGGAGCTGAGCAGGCGTCAGGCTGGACATGAAAGTGTTCTCCTCAGCCCTGCTCACTCTGCTCTTGGCAGCTCCATGGCCTGGAAGCCAAAGTAAGTACCAATGACACACCTTTCTCCATGGCTGGTACCCAGTACCATCCCCAGCTCCTCCTCTGGCAGGGTTTTTGGGGGGTTGGGGAGTGGGACAAGAGCTTCACCTCCTGCTTCTGCCATGGGCTTAGGAGGCTGAGGCACATCACCAGCTGCCCAAGCATGGGGCTGTCCTGGTTCTGTTCAAAAGGAGCAAAAATAGGCTTAGGGACAGCTTCAGCCCCAAGATCTCAGGTGGGGAGCTCAGTAACAGCCCCCCACAGGCAGGGAAACAGGGGGCACCTACCCTGGGGCAAAGCAGCACTGCCAGGGATGTGAGAGAGGACCCTCTCAGAGTGGCAGGAGTAGCAGGAGAATCCCCAGAAGAGCATCCACACTCCTTGGGGCAACACTCACCTCCCTTGGGACAACACCCACACCCCTTGTGCCAGATGTGGGCAAGCACCAACCCTTCTCACCTCCTCCCAGTCCCCAACTCCTACACGTGCTGATGGCTCCTCACCAGGAGCAGCCAGAAGATGCCTTCCCACTGCTCCCACAGGGCCCTGCAGCCCCCACCAAGCCTTCCTTCCTGCCACCCCCCTCCTCACCCTCGCTTGCCCACCTTCCCTACCGAGTGCTCTGTCTTCAAAGAGCCCCCAAAACAAGCCACCCCCAAAGGGTGGGGGGTGCCTTGCCCTGGCTCTTCACAGGCACATACTTCCTCACTGCTTTGCCCCAAAATCTCCCCTTTCAGCTGCCAGCCAGACAAACAGGAAGGAAGCTGAGGTTTCAGAGATTGCTGAAAGTCAGAACTTTGGGGGGATGAATGGAGCAGGATGCTGCTCAGGCTGGGGGGGAACTGCAGAGCACGGCTAGATCCCACCCCCCTAGCTAACCCAGCCCTTCTCTCCCTTCTCTTCTAAAGGGGATGAAGTTCTGCACGGACCTGGAGGAGGGCTGACTCCAGCAGGGCCAGCAGGGGTCAGGCAGCAGCTCCACGTGAAGCTGCCTGCACCATAAGCTCTGTTTATTTGCATCCTGCCATGATCTCTACATTCTCACCTCGTGAAGGTGTGGAACTGGATCCGTCCCTGCTGCTGCCCCCTCCACGCTGCTGCACATCCCTCAAGAGGTTTAATAAAATGCTCTGACCTGCAGCTGGAGTGAGAGGATGTCAATCCTGCAGGAGAAAAGAGAGGTCATGTCAGGGCCTCAGGAATACTCCAGGAGCTGCTGGGTGGGCAGGGAAAGCTGAAGGGCTGAGGCTGATGCCCCCAGCTCTCCCCCGAGGTGAAGTAGCTCCTGCCTGAGCATGGGATTTAGGGATGCCCTGGGCAGCTGCCTGCCTGGAGGGATGTAGATTGAGGCAGGGATAAAGGCAGGCACAGGCTGGCAATGGGAAGTGGGGTTTGGGAGGTTTGGGGGCATTGGTCTGGGGTTTTTTTTTCCCAGATAGTTCAAGGAGTTAAACAAGGGAACCTGCA